ATCCAGGAAATCAAGGCAAATGGGCAGCAGCAAACAAGCAACTTGAACTAGTAGTGCCATGGACATAGATTACCTAATGGAAGATGGGCTATGAACATGCCTAATAGAAGCAGATATTAACAAACTAATTCCATGTGCAGCTCACATGCATTCATGGGTTCTTATATGGTTGGAACTTGAAGCACACAGCAATAAAGGTTCAATTATCACTGATATATTGTAGTTGATATCCTTCCCTCCCCTCCCCTCCCCCATTTTTTTCTTTCTTCTTTATTTTGCTGATATATTGTAGTTGAAATACTCCCCTCCTCCCCTCCCTTTTTTTCTTTCTTCTTTATATACTGGAATTGCCTGCTTGGTCCCCCTCCTTTTTTTTTTTTCTTTCTTTCTTCTTTATTTTCCTGTGAAAATGTTCTAACACAATCCAAAGTATTGACAAATAAATAGTACATCATTTAGAGTCCTAGCCTAGCATTATCACCTAATAAAGCCATTATATATATATATATATATGACCAATGTCCGGACTAGTTTACGCGCACCTTAAATAATATCATGAGAAGTACCTAACTTGAGCTAATAACATTGTGGTTGTAGAATTCGGTTCTTATCAGTTGTGTAGAACATGTTCAGATCCTCTAGAGTCCACACTCTGCAATTTCCATGGAGTAGTTCAAAACAACATCATTTCACTTCAACGGCAAAAAAGAAAAAAGAAAAAAAGAGGAGACAGAGGAAGACCAAGAAGAAAATGAGCAGAGATAAAGACTGGAGAAAGCTCTGCATTCAAACTGAAATGAATCTCTCAAACTTATCCTAAAGAAACATATAAATTATGGAATGGGTACAGAACAACACATTATTCAGTTATTTATTTTTATTTTTAAATTATTCAATCATTCCAGGTATGTACAAGGATCAGGCACATACAAGGATGATAAATTTAATTTCAATCTATATTTGTTTCAGCAACCAAATAGAACACATTTGAAGATTTTCCTAGTTTACAACACCACAAATATACAGTCTAACTCTACCAACAAAAACCAAAAAAATGTCTTAGTGAAGAACCTTTATACAGTTTAGTTGAAGAAATTTCATGTAATTATTAGAATAAAAACATTAGAGAGATCACACAAGCTTTTCTTAAACTCAAGTTAGAAAATAGAAGTTCCCAACACAAATTCTTTTAACATTGCTCCATTATGTTATCTGGGAATGAGAAGCAAAACCTTATTGGTCTATAATCAATAATCCTCTTGGGCTCTTTAAATGATGACATGGGACAATTCCATTGAATAACAATGAAATTTCTTTTTGAATGGGTACAGATTTCAATGGTCTAACTCAATAAGCTCAAACCAGAAAGTGTAAACTTATACCTTGTATTTCTTTTATTGAATACTGTTTGACTGATGAGAAAATTGAAGAAATGAGGAATTGGTCTTCCATGACTATAAATTAGGCATACGAAGTTACATGGATTATTTACTCAGTAGCAGAGCAGAGCATCAGGCATGTACAAGGATCCTCAAATAACCAGGCATGGTATCCAAGAAGAATCAGGAGGATGATCACTGAAGCAAAGGAATCGATCGATATCATGACGTAAGTAATCAATTTTATTTTTTATGAATAACCTAAGTAAAAAAACCTATAAAATAAACAGATATTGAACAAACATTCAAATATAGAGAAGAGTTGAACCTTAATTTTATTAAAAATACAGACAAACAATCCAAATCATATAAAATATTCACATTTAGTCAAGGGCTTTTACTAAATTCAAACTGTTAATTATAATCAATAGGACATTCATTCTCAAGTTCATAGCAGAAACAAGCAAAACACATTAAGGATGGCCAAGTTTACAATTTACACATTCACAATTTATTGAAGAGAAACCTTGCTGGAAAGAATAAAATATAGCATTAATTCTAAAAATTAATTTCAAAAATTAGGGAAAACATTAATTTTGAAAATGAGGAAAAACAGAGATAGAAAAATAAAGAAATTGAGTGAGAGAGAGAGAGAGAGAGAGAGAGAGGACCCATACCTGATGGAAAAGAACGCACAGCAGTAAAGGAGATATGACGTATGTGGCGACACTGAAGAAGGAGAACAGGGACGTTGGCAGCGGCGCTGGAGAAGAACACACTAAAGGGGCGCCAGAGAAGAACACATAGCACTTGTGTTTTGAGAGGGAGAGGGAGAGGGAGAGGGAGAGGGTGAGAGATAGAGATTGATAGGAAAATTGATTCGTCAATAAACAAAACCCTCAGTAGTTGTGTTTTGTTTTCAGAGGGGGAGACAGATAGAGATACAAACTGATACGAAGACTGATCCAAAAACAAAAAAAAAAAACAAAAAAAAAAAGAGGGAAAAAAAACTGAACAAAAAAAAAAAAAAAGAAGAAGAAGAAGAAGGAAGGGAAAAATAATAGACTATTTTTTTTCATCACTGTTTAATATGTCAAAATTCTTCTTTCAAAATTAGTAACAAAACAATTTTCTCACTAAAAGGCCTAAAAATATTAAAAATTATTAGTGACGAAAATATATTTCTAACCAAATGGTCTTAAAATATTTAAAATCAAATTTTTCAAAAAAAAAAAGATTATTGGTGACGCAAATATATTCCTCATTATTAATTTTTTAATTGTTGGAAAAAAAAATTCTCACCAAAAGTTTCAAAATTTTGGCACCATCAAAAAAAATTAGTGGGAAAAATTTAGTTGACGAAACTTTTTTTTTTCTCACCTAAAAGTAAGTATTTATTGACGGAAATAAATTTCGTCACCTATTATTTTTATATTCTTATTATACGTGACAAAATTTATAATTCCTCATGGATTATTCTTATTTAGTGACGAAATTTGTTTTCTTCACTAATTTTCGTCACCATACCAATACAAAGAATAAGAGAAAGAGACACCAGAAAAAGAGCAAAGAGAAATCACGAACCAAATCACCGAAGGAAGAAGATGTGACGGTTACCGGCAAGGCTACTAGTGGCGGCGACGATCGGCAAGGCTAATAGAGGCGACGATGGCGATCAGTGTGGTGGAGGAGCAAGAGGTAAGATAAATTAATACCCTATTTTGAGAGAGAGAGAGAGAGAGATGATAAACGGAAAAAGGGTAAAAAAAATTAATACCCCTTTTTTTTTTATTGCCGCTCAATATATCAAAAATTTCCCACCAAAATTGGTGACAATATTCTTTCCTCACCAAAAGATATCAAAAATATTAAAACGTTTTGGTGACGAAAATATATTCCTCGCAAATAATTTTATAATTAGTGACAAATTTGTTTCACACCAAAAGTCTCAAAATTTTGGCGCCACCAAAAAAAAAAAGCGGAAAAAATTTTGATGACGAAACTTAATTTTTCCTCACTTAAAATGAAGTATTTATTGACGAAAATAAATTTTTTCACCTACCATTTTCATTTTTTTATTATATGTAACAAAATTTATAAATTCCTCACGAATTATTTTTATTTAGTGACTAATTTTATTTTCTTCACTAGTTTTCGTCACCATAGGTTACTTTTGTAGTAGGTGACATCAAGAATGGGGTCTTTGGGAGTGGGTTCAACGGTTCGCCACAATGAAGAGGACGTAGATCGACCTCCGAATGCTGTGACTGACGAATTCTTCAGAATTCGACTCGACATCGTAGTTCGAATCACCATTGTCCAAGAGAGAGAGAATCCGAGAAATAGATAGTGAGCGAAGAGAGAGAGGGATAAATTTGATTTGAGAGAGCCAAATTTCTCTTTGATATATAGGTATAGAGTTGAGGCACTTTAGATATTATAAAATAATATTGTGAATCTCTTCTATTACTAAAAATGAGAAAGGGACCTTAGATTAATTTTTCCTAATATACAAGTTTAGATAAATATTATGAATTCCTAATATTACTGTTAAAAATTAGCGAATTGAGAATGTGAAGGTGACCCCAAAAAGCAAAATTAGAATTGTGCTCCCCACTCACAATTTTGCCCCGAATTCGCAAATTGGTGAACTCAGCTAGTTTGGGATGAGTTAAAAGTGGGTATGTCCAAACAATTTTCAAACTAATTCATTTGGATTTACTTTTTTAAGAGTTTTTTTTTTATTGGGTTTTTTTTCCTCCTTTTGTCTTCACTGATTTTTTTTTTTTGCTAAATCTTTTTTTCATTTTTTCAAAAAAATTTACTTGTTAGATCTTTCTACACTAAACAAATTTGAAAAGTAAAAACAATTAACACAGATTTTAAAAAAATAAAAATCATTAAAAACAAAAATAAAATAAAATAAAATAAAAAATAATGTGATTTTTTATATTGTACCAAACTATGGCTAATTCTAATCTACAGGAAAGAATATCGAAGAACTTATGAATCAATGCTCAATTACTTTCAATTCGTTATCTCACTGTAAAAAATTCACGAAGTAGTCACAAATTTGCTCCGTATTTGTAAACAAATGTAGACATTAAGTCAAACCAATGTAAGTCTATTTTTATAATTTGTTGTGAGCTTCACATGTTCTTTTCATTTTATATTAATCTCTATTTGTGGGTTTTGCAAGTGATACTTCAATTTTATTTATTTAATTTTTGAATTGACAGGAGAATATCTATAGATATCAAAGTAAATATATTAAACTGAATAATCAATTATATAAGAAAATTTAATACGACTAATCGCAAACCCAACATCAACAACCATTACAAGAAAGGAGCACATAACATGGAACAAATAAACAACTAAATAAAGACACTCTAATAGAGAGTCAATAATCAATCTTTGCCTATGACAATGATTGACCTCCTAATCTCTCAGTTTAGAGTATACATGAGTGACTAACGGAGCTAACCCCAATTAGTTTCAAGACCCACTTCAACACGACTTAAAAATATATAAAACAAAAGGACTACTAAAAAATAGATAGAAACAAATTTAACACCTAAAATGGATTGCCCAGAAAAAACCCTTTCATCTTCTTATGTTTTATAACCTTAGAGTTAAATCTAACTCATTCTCACCATTGTTGTGTTGATTGTTTTCCCTCTCCAAGTTAACCACCCCTCTCATAGGCTCAATCACTTGACCCATCAATTGGATTGTTGCATTGTTCACTCTGCTTCCCACTTGAATAAGCCTTGTTTGGAAGATAAGTGCATTGTTGTGTTGATTGTTGCCTTGATGATTGTTTCCCCTCTCCAAGTTACCCACCTCTCTCATAGGCCCATTTAATTGACCGCTCAGTGGGATTGGCAAATGGTTGTTAACTCTGTTTCTACTATGAATAGGCCTTGTTTGGGAGAAAAAAGCATTGTTGTCTTGATTATTTTGCCTCTCTAAGTTAACCACCTCTCTCACAGGCCCATTCAATTGACTTATCAATGAGATTGTCGAATTGTTGTTAACATTGTTTCCCAATTGAATAGGCCTTGTTTGAGAGATAAGAACATTGTTGTTTTGACTTTTTTGCCTGTCCAAGTTAATAACCTCTCGCATAGGCCCATTCAATTGTCCCGATGAATTGTTGTTAATTTTGTTTCCCATTTGAATATGCCTCTTTTGAGAGATAAGGGCATTGTTGTTTTGACTGTTTTGCGTATCCAAGTTAACAACCTCTCTCACAAGCCCATTCAAATGACCCATCAATGAATTGTTGTAAACTCTATTTCCCATTTGAATAGGCCTTGTTTGGGAGATAAGAGCATTGTTGTTTTGGGTGTTTTGCGTCCCCAAGTTAACAACCTCTATCATAACCTCATGCAATTGACTCATCAATGAATTATTGTCAACACTGTTTCCCACTTGAATAGGCATTGTTTGAGAGATAAGAGCATTGTTACCTTGATTGTTTTGCTCCTCCAAGTCAATCACCTCTCTCATAGGCCCATTCAATTGACGCATCAATGGAATGGTCAAATTGTTGTTAACTCTATTTCTCACTTGAATAGGCCTTGTTTGGGAGATAACTGCATGGTTGTTGATTGTTTCCATCATGTGTTGTGTTGAGACTTGTGGTCCAAATGTTGAGTTGGTCCTGTTGTTGAGAAGGGGGACGACTCGTCGCATTGGCATGAGTAGTGACACTAATGTTGTGTTCCTCCTAGCCAAACGATGAACTTGTATTTTCGATGGTGAATTTGTCAGGTTCACACCAAGAGAAGTATTTCTTCGCCTCGACATGTCTTGCATCACATGTAGAAAGCTCACTGGCTGTGATTCTTGGGGGGGCTGAGTTGGTAAAGAAATAGGAAGTGTATTTTCTTGGAGGTGCTGAGTTGGGAAAGAAATAGAAAGTGGGTTGTTGTTTGATGAAAATTGAGCTATTTCATGTTGTTGTGAGGGAACAAAATGGATTTCATGTTGCACATTTATAGTCTCATGGATTTCCATATGAGACGCATTGCTGGATTCTTCATTGGTGAAGCCATGCATGGTTGTGTAAAGTGGGGACCAGCCATTTCTAGACATGGCTAAAAAAAAATATTAAGAATTGAGTAAGAAAAGAATGGGCTAGCGATGATCATGACAGGAGATTAAGAGGGGAAGGAGAGCGAAAGAGATCAATAATACTAGGTATCATGAAAGAAATATCATGAAAAGTCTTCATGAAGATTCTTCACCCTTGGATTAGTTTATAATGTTTGTAGTGTTTTATTGTATGTTATGCAATCACCCTTGGATTAGTTTCATGAAGTTTTTCATGATATTTATTTCATGATGCGTAGCATTACTCGAAAGAGATAGACGGCTAAATGAACAGAAAGATAGATATAGTGATGATTGTGATAGTGAAGTGCTTGCAATACCGCTAATTTATAGCCCAGTAATTGCCATTTGAATGACAACTTTGCAATAATATATATATATAAAAAAAAAAAAAAAAAACTGCATACAGATCGTACTAATTGTTAGAAATACATTTATGATATTTTGGTAGGCTACAGCTATTGCCACAACAACAATAGTTGCCAAAAACAAAATTTTAATTTTCTTTTGAGTCTTAGATTACTGTAATCCAAGCAGAATCTTAGTTATCAGTATATGGATTACGTAATGTAATGCTAATAAATTCATCCAATAAGTAGCCTAGGTCTTCTTCTTTTTTCTTAATTTTTTTTTTTAAAAAAAAAATTTGGAACAAAAATAGCTTGGGTGCAAGGAAAATAAATATAAATGCATATATTTAGGTGTCGTTTGGTAACACTTACGTTTTCAGTTTTCTGTTTATATTTACAAAAATTTAAAAAACTCAAATAAAAACTTGTTTGGTAAAATTTTTAATTTATAAATCAGTGGTCTCAGTTTATAAATTTGGCTAAAAAATGAAAACACAAAAAATGTGTTTCCATTTTGAGTTTTCAGTTTTTTTTTTTTTTTTTTTACCACCCAACACTAGCCACTAACCGCCACCATTTTCCACCACCATCTTCCGCCACCACCACCTGCCACCACCACTCACCACCCACCTACCACCACCCGCCGCTGCCACCAGCCAACAGCCACCACCAGCCATCACTCACCTGCCACCCACTTGTTACCACCATCTACCCCTCGCCACCACTACCACCACCCGCCTGCCATCCACCCGCTACCACCTACCACCTGCCACTACCATCCACCGCCTGCCACCACCATCACGCACCATCTACTTGCCACTACCACTCACCACCCACCTGCTACCACCATCCACCACCTGCCACCACTAGCCACCCACTACCACCACCAGCCACCTACCACCACCAGCCACCAGCCACCGCCACCACCAGCCACCACCCACCTACCACCCACTCGCCACCACCACCACCCACTCGCCACTACCACCACCATCACCCACCACCCACCACCTACCTACCATCCACCCGCTACCACCGCCACTACCATCTACCGCGCCACCACCACCTGCCACCTACTTGCCACCACCACTCACCACCCACCTCCCACCACCACCCACCACCCGCCACCCCACCCACCACCACCTCCCCCCCACCCCCCCCCCCCCGCCACCACCACCCGCCATCCGCCATCCACTTGCCACCACCCACTCGTTACCACCCACCACTCGCTACCGTCACCCACCCACCCGCCACCACCTACCACCACCAGCTACCCACCACCCACCGTGTCACCACTTTCCACCACCGTCTTTCACCGCCACTTGCCACCACTTGCCATTTCTCACTCTTTTTAATATTTTTAAATTTTTTTAAATATTTTGTCAATTACCAAACACGTTTGTAGTTTATGTTTTTTTAAAAATAAACAAAAACCAATTTATAAAATTTTTATAAATAGAAACTGAAAACGTAAACGTTACCAAACACACCCTTAGAGTTTGTGTCAAGATTGCAGTCAGGGAATAAGCTTGCAAACTAGTCTAGTCATTAGAGCATCACTAATGCTATTAGGCATTTTGCATATCTGAAAATTATTGTAATTTACATATTTCACTAATGCTATTAAGTATTTTACTTATTCAAATATTATTATAATTTATATATTTTATTTTGCTTGTTCACTTTTTTATCTTTTCACTCTAACCTTACTTTTTATTTTAACTATTTATTTAAATACTATTTATTTTTATAGAATGTCACATCAGTAATAAAGATAGAGGGGTTAAACAGATTTTGCCTAACTTTTGAAAGCTAGGTACATGTAACCAATAAATGTGAATTGATACAAAATATGTAATCATATATCTAGTTGAAAAAAATAAATTATACTATAGACATTTTAACTAACAGACTTTAGTAAAGTGGATTACTACAGTGGATTCAACATTCTCTATTTTTTTTGTCGAAATTGGAGAACTTTAAAAAATTGGATAAAATTGTAACATATCATTCAAATTCAAAATCAATAGTTTACAAATTGTGTCATTCTTATAAGTTTCAAAATTTTCCTTAACCATTTTGATTTAATTTAAATATTTAATGATGTCACTCTTTCATAATTTCTAATAGCTTTTTTTTTATTGGATTTGGGATGACTGCTGTGTTAGGGACACAACAACTATTATTGTGCAGTCAAATGGGCCCATTTCGAAGTCCATTTTGATGATCTGAACCGTTCATTTTTTAGAGTGTATCAAATAGAATATACATGTAAAAATTAAGTTAACTAGATATCGTTAACTCTTTCATCTATTCACATTTGTATCTTCAAAAATAAATGACAATTGTGATTTAAAGTATTAAAATGAATACAAATGTGAGTGGATGAAAGAGTTAACGATATCTGATTAACTTAAATTGTTTTAGGTATATTGTACTCAATATAATCTAAAATGTGAACAGTTTATATTATTAAAATGAATCCTAAAATGAACCCACAGAACTGCACAACAATCACCTCAAATCTATTTTTATTAATGACAGACCTCTAATAAAGTAATTTTATATAAATATGATATCAAATATTACAATCTAGCATTGTTGTTAATGATATAGCAGTCTCGTGCTAGTGCTAGATTGTTATATCATTAATATCAATAGCAATGTTAGATGCACAAAATTTAAAACACAAAAAATGTCAACAACCAAAAAAAAGAAAAAAAAAAATTTGTATGATTGAGATTTATTTTATACACACAATGCATTTTTTGTACATATTATATATTTTAAGTTCGTGCACCTAGAATTATTGAAGTGACATTTAGTAATAAATTATTATTGGTAAATTTTTTTACACGAAACTATTTTGTCACTGAAAATGAATTTATTAGCGATATTTTTAATATTGTATCTTTAAAAAATCTCATTTTATTCATTTTTTGAAATGACTTTTTAATGAGGACTCTCGTGGATGACTTGGGTAAAGGCTAATTGACGGTGAGATGTTCAATAGTTTTGAATTGAGAGGGACCCCTAATGAATGACTAGGACATTTTTTTAAGGAAAAGCTGTCTTTAGTGGTTAAGATTAATTTAATTTTTTGTTTTTTATTGTTTTATTTTTATGGATGATTTAAATTTTATAATAAAATTCTTAGGTTCTATCCGAACTTTGATTCCTTCTTGCGATGAGATGCTTCAAGATTTACTAGTAGCCTATGTCCAAAATGCCGTTGCGCAATTATTCAAAACAAAACATTTTGAAATATATCATAAATCACCTAAAATTTTCGTAATCTTTAAATATTTTGCAATCTAAGTTTGAATTCCTGAACATTCAATTCAGCAATACATGAAGACTAATCCATATTTAATTTTGTCAAAGAAAAATCAAAACTAAAAATATATATTCTAACCTAAAATCGTGTGCACGTAAAATAAATTAAAATTGTCTGAACCCTTAATCTTGAAAATTTCAAACCCAAATTTAAAATTTGGATGCTCTCTTTAGGCACATTCATTTAAAGCTTGAAATATTACAATGAGTTTTAATAGCAATCTTATGACATATTTTCATAATGTTTACTTAGAATTTTATCTAAAAATATTAATATATAATTCAGATTCATTTTGTACAAAGGCCCCATAATATTTTTAATTAAATCTCTCAACCACAACTACAAAAAAAAGCGTTTTTGGCGACTAAAAATTCATTTTTCGTCGCTGAAAGTTGTATAATTGGCGACTAAAATGGATTTAGTTGCCAAAATGAACCCTTTTGCCGACTAAAATAGTTTAGTCGCCGAATACCAGGCTTTTAGCGACTAAAAGGCAGTTTAGTCACAGAATGTAGGGGTTTTAGCGACTAAAGGTTTTTTGGTAGCCAAAAGTGACGGTTTTTGGCGACTAAAATAATTTAGTAGCCAAAAGTGATGGTTTTGGCGACTAAAAAACATTTTAGTCGCCGATTATAGGTGTTTTTCCGACTAAAAAAAGATTAGTCGCTGAAAATGAAGGTTTTTGGCTACAAAAAAAAATTAGTAGCTAAAAACAGTGAATTGGCGACTAAAATTCAGTTTAGTAGCCAAAAGGACACGTTTTTGGCGACTAAAAACAGATTTAGTCGCCAAAACTACTATTTTTAATTTCAACTTGTTTTTTTACCGACAAAAAAATAATTAGTAGCCCAAAAATCATAGAATTGGCGACTAAATAATGGATTTAGTCGCCAAAAGTGGCCTAAAATTTTTTTTAATAAATAATTTATTTTTTACATAAATTATATTGAATTAAAATAATTATATTTATATATATTGTTTTGTATTAATACTGTCAATATATTATATAAATAATATATATTGTAAATATATTCATGTGATGTTGTAGTGGCATAGTGGAGGGAGTGTGTTGCAAAAAAGGTTGCAATGTGCGATGGTTGGGCACGGTTCGAAACTCAGAAAAACCAAAAAAAAGTGGTTTTTTTTTTTCCGATGGAACACCTTTGGCGACTAATGTTTTAGTCGCCAAAAGTCTTGATTTTGGCGACTAAGCCGTTTAGTCGGCGATTGATTGAGTATTGGCGACTAAATTATTAGTCGGT